TCAAATTATATTAACATTAAACTTAATACACTCATTTTCCCGTAACCAGAACCAACTCAGGTCCCGTAAACTTGTTGTTAAAATGCATGAATTTATCTATAAAGAATCTTGCGTGGGAAATGACTGAATAAGCTTAATTCGTGCGCGCGTAATAAAACTAGCAAGACGTATAAATAAATTAAGTCTTTAGTGCTCGGCAGGCGTAACGTTCGCCGACGTCTTAGCCTGTTAAATAATTCCAAGTCATTCCTCATATTTCGTCTTTCCCCCCTAAATTGTACGGTTCCCTGCGCGAGACACGCAACGATCAACAATCTACGATAATTGAATGGAATCTGGAGTGACTGAACTCACATCACTGGAGAGGCCGTTGTTCCACGGATAGGGTGGTTGAGGCGGCGACTGCTGTTGATGATGGACGCCTCCAACCCCGGTCGCGGAATGAGGGTTGTGGATGTGCTCGGCCATCACGCTGACCCAATGGGCCAGACCTCCGCCACCGGTGGTTGCTGGGCCCGTGGTTCCCGTTCCAGCGCCCCCTGTTCCTCCGCCGCCGCCGCCGCCGCCTCCTCCTCCGCCGCCACCACCTCCGCCACCTTCCTCGCCGCCCTCGGACCACGCGAAAGAGGCCTTCTGCAACAGAAACGCAAGAGCAAATTAACGAGAGTCACGTGCACGAGTTCAAACGAAACAACATTACCGAACAGGCGATTAAAATTCGGTAATACCGCGCGGGACACGCGCGCCGTCGTCGTCGACGACAGTCGATTTCCGTTTTAATTCGTCCGCGTCAACGTCGGTTAACGAAACGTTTATAAAACCATGCCGCGGAACCGTCGTCGACCACGTTTGTAAAACGATCGCCGGTAATAATAACAGAGCATAAACGAAGTGCCGCGTTCCGAGGTACGAGAATTAACGAGATCCGTCGAGAAGCTTCACGCGATTATCGGAATCGCGCACTGTTTCGAGTCCGAATAATTATTTGCAGCCGGGCGGGGGGCTCGGGCTGGTTTTCGAGCTGTCGATTAAACGAATTCCGGGAACGAAATCACGCCGGGCTCCGCCGGCAACAGTGTTGCACAAAGGGGACCGGGGCGAAATTACACAGGCCGGCGAGCAGCAACAACAAGTGGCAGGCTTTTCGATTTTTCCGCGCGCGGACAATTTCGAAAATAAGCCTCGGGCGCCGATTAATACGGACCCGGGGCATTAATCACCGTAATTATGAGGCTCGCTCTCGACCGACCGGGCTGCTTCATCCGATATTCATGATCGAACGCACGAGAAGAGCTGACCCATTAATAAATTGATCGATAAATCAGCGAGCGTGGCGCCTGAACACACCTGAACGGCTTAAGCCGCGTTCACGCCTGCCACTTAGCCCCGGGAATGCGCGCGACTTTGTTGCATGAGCAACATCAAAGCGAGACCGGGTAAACAAATTGATCGAAATTGATAATTTTAGTTCGGCTGGCGCGCGTCCCGCCGACCGAACCGTCGCGACGTTTCTTTCTTCCGGCTGCGTTCGGGAGGCCGGTGCCCGCGATTCTGCAACGTTTAAAGCCACCTTTACTGGAACGACAATGTAGAGAGGCGTCGGTAGAGGAGACCGCGCGTCCGCGTTACTCCACGCAGCGATTTAATCAATTATTAAATTAATTTGCCCGGTGTTAATAGCCTTCTGGGGGCCTTAAGACTAATCGATCGTATCGTATTTCAACGTGACGCAAGAATCCGTGGAATCTCGGACGCCCCGCAGGCTCTGTATTTTTCAGTTTCGGAAGGAGACACGGTCCCCGCAAATTACGTCGCTGGTTGGCAAACCCTATAAAATCGAAAAGACTCGAACCAGGCCCGCCGCTCCGCACTCTTAATCTCTCGGCTACCGTGTTAACCGCGCGCATGGCACCGACTAGCGTCAATTTGAGACACATTGTTGCCGTGCAGCCGCCAATTTCAAGGGAAGGAGATTGCTCGGGTGCACGTGTAATCTGGGAAATTACAAACCCGGCCGTTTCCATGGCGTTTTTCACCGGAACACCGCGGTCTATCATTTCGACGGCGATGCCGGCGATTAAGCTAAAAACTGACACGGCCCGATCGGCTATAAATCCCGGGATCCTGGCGCGCCGGTAATGAGGAGAAATTAAGGATTTCTCGCGCATAATTTAGGGAATCGGAAAGAGCTCCGAGCTTTTTTAATTGCGCCGCTGCGTCGCTCGCACTTCGCGCCGCGCCGCTCCGCCCGCCGTATTTCGGTCGCCGTTCAAATAAAGATCGGCGTGGCTCGATCCGCGATAAGTGTTTCGATTCGCGGGGGCAGAACGGACAGGGGCGGTGCATTTCTCCGGCGAAAAGTTTATTTATAATGAAGCGACAGAAGTCGATCCGTGTGACGAGCCGGCGAGCTGCGAGCAGTCGGTTGGGACGATCGAGAGGGGAAAGAAGTTCTCGAGGCAGGCTCGAGAATAAAATCGGCAAATTCGTGTATAATTGCGCGGCACGGTATCAGACGGTATCGATCGGCTGTGGAGGCGTCGTAAGAAATTCATAGCCACGGAGAAAGAAGAGAAATGTCAGCCGATGCCGAATCGATACGTCGTCGAACGCGCGTCGCTTAGCCGGCCCCTATCCGCGCCGGAATAAAAATAACGAAAATGATATTCGGCCTGTCCGGGGGTCTGTCATACGTTTCGCGTGATCGCCGCGATGGACAGTTCATTAAAGCTCCTTGAATAATTAAACGGCTCCCGTCAATTTCCCAGCGTAGAAACCCGTTCGGCTCTTTATACCTTCCATCAACCTTTCGTCGAACGTTTAAACAACTGCTCGGCGCAAGAACTTTCGAATTTTATCTGTGCAAAGTCTGCTTCCAACGAGCTCCAAGATTATCAAATCCAATAAAACCATCGTTCTTCAAAGATTTGTACGGTAGAACTCCGATTATCGGATCGAAATTTTTGGCAGTGTCCGATTCAGCGAACTTCTGTTGAACTCCTATTATCTGTCGTTACATGCTCTATTGTCGAGCGTTGCGCCAATTATGCGAACCCCTAGGTAGTAGCGGACATAAGCGAATGTAAAGATAGCACGGTTTCGTTTACCTGTTTGGTTAACTGGTCCGACCACTTTGCAACTTTGAAAGAATCTAAGCTATTTTTTGTCCGATATAGTAGTTCGAAAGTGTTAAAAATAGCTTTCGAAACAAATTATTTTCAGAAATAAGAAGCCTTTAGCCGATTCGAATGCGCCGTGGCGTTGAATGTATGAAAAATTACGTTTAGAAACTTTGAACGCGTTCTTCTCGAAACTGTGTTTTTGAAAACGGCGTGCTAGATATCTCGAGATCTAATCAACCGATTACCTTGGAATTTTGCAGATGCCTTTAGTATAATGTATATTAGGCGTTGACGATGCGCGTTTTTCTAATTCTTTATAATTTCGGAAAGTATAAACAAAGAAGATGCAAATTTTTTTGTGCGAATCACTTTTTAAATTTTTGCACCAAGTAATCCCGTTTGGCAGGAATCATGCGCATCTTAAATGAGCCGTTTATTTTGAAAGTGGCACAAGTCACTTTACCGTAATGAAAAGTGGTGATTTTTTAATGTTTATCAGTATCCTTAGATAACAAATACAAGTAAATCTTCTCGAAAGTTAGCATCCATATTTTTAAACGTGTTAAAACGCAAACCCTTAAATATATCGACTTAAAAACAAAGTGACTTATACCACTTTCAAAATAAACGGCTCAAATAAAGGAATTCGGTGCGAAACTTAAATGTGGAAACCTAAACAAACGGCGTTCAAAATAAAAGTAACACTGTTTCTTTTAAATAGTTCATAGCATTGTAAAATAAGCCATAAAAAGCTTATATCAATCAAATGTTCACTTCTGCTGTTATTTAAAAATACAATTAACATTGATCGCGTCAAAGTGATCTTAAATTCATTAGATCCATTGATCTGAACGCGAACTTCAATTATTTGAACGAAAAGTTACAAGTAGCGGGGGGAGGGGAGGGGATAATCGGCGGTTGTCTGAACCGCTCGTCTCCCGTCGAGTTCGTATAAAAGGAGTTCTACTGTACTTTGCGACCGTTTGCCCGATGTTCAGAAAAATTACTGAGCAGGCATCGTTGACAGAAGTTGAAAAGGATCGGTTAGGCGATTGAGAGAGGATGATCTGGCGCCGGAAGCGAGTGGATTTCCGCGGAAAACCCTCGAAACCGAGATTCCTCGAGGCTCCAACCCCTGACTGGTAATTAGCGGAGCCCGGCGGTTAATTGATCTCGCAGCACGCATCGTGAGAAAGCTCGTTAGAAACTGCGGGTCGGATTGCTGGTGCCTCAAAGAATCATCCCCTCCCTCTACCAGCCGGAGGGTTGTTATTTCTTGGACGATAGAGGGGGGGATGATGCGTTTCATTATTGCCTCGCACTTAATTACAAGGTCTCGGACGGCCTGGGCTCCGCGTGTCCCTGTGTGCACCCTTCTCCGATTCTCTCGTCTTCCGACGTTGCGGTGCAACAAAAGCTCGGCCCGCCTCAAAGGGGATCGATTTTTGTTAACTGCAGAAGCTTTTAATCCGTTCTTCTGTCTCGCAGCCGAGAACACGCGAAAGACTCTAGCCAAAGAAGAAAATGAAAACTCTATTTTGGAGAATTGATAGTGGAGACGTTTATTCGTGTCTTGCCGAATTTTGTATCGTTGATTCGGTCTCGAGCTTTCAAATCGTTTAGGCTTTTGGCGAAGTGGCAAGGGAATCTGTTTCCCTCCGGAGAAAATTCATTTGTCGAATAAGTAAATTACGAGCCAGCGACTACTACCATCTAGCCGCATCGCTTTTTAGGAAGGATCTTGTCTCGGAACCAGAGCTGTTTATGTGGAAGTTCGGAGCAGAATCTAAATCACGTGGTTTGGCAATGCCCAGTGTTTGAACCCGGCAGAAATGACACGATAATTGGACGCGGGAAGGCTGGATGTTATTCTCCTTATGTTGTGGATGCCATTCTCGATAAGCCGTTTAACCTACCTCTGTGACCTGTACATAAGTTTTTTGTGAAACAATCACTGGACCTTTGAACTGGTATCTAGTTTATCATATCTAATTGTTAATATTGAATTACCCCGTTTTCGACAGCATAAATACTCATTAGAATGTGTGGAAGGATATAGCATGCTTGTACAGTCTCCTCCAAAAGTATTAGAACACTCGTAGAAAATTAAATCAATTTGGAAGCCTATAGGAAATTGTTATAATTTCTTCAATTTTCCTTCAAAGTTAATTGCATTGAACTGTTAACAAGTACATATATATTTACATTCTAATAAAAATAACGTCAAGTTTATAAAAGAAAATTATATTTTCTTTTCGTCGATACATCCACCGCGTCTTTTAATTATTTCTTCGACTAACTTCGGCATCCGTTTAATTAGATCGTCTACTAATACTTCTGATTCTATTTGGTTTCGTGCATGTTGTAGTAGTATGTTTCACATATTTTGAAGACATATCGTACGAAATGAACTCACTGAACAAAATGCAATAAATGGCTAAACTAATTTCATAAGTGACAAACACTTCTAACATAGTATGTACTTTCGACGATACGATGCCATAACACTTG